TTTCAGCAAGACATTCAATCGCATAATTATGCATCCAAACCATCAGTTTTGCAGAAATCAATAAAAAGAAGTGAAATTACACACCTGTGCTTAATAGGGATCCATCCAAATCAAATATAACAGCAGATATATAGGCCTTCACATCACCATTAGAGCTTTCCATTTTTTCTGTTAGAACGTTAAATTTGAGTGATTGTGAGTGAATATTTGTATATTGGGAGTGAAAAAGAGGAAATTCGTATTGTTAATATACTGAAAGGGGGATCGATTCCCATGGCAATTAGGTCCGGTGGCAGTTACGTATAGAATTTAGAGAGAGGGAGAATTCCCGTCTTACTGTACTTGCTGTAGTTTTCTGGCATATGCCAAATGCTATTATTTTATTATTATTCCCTCTCTATTTCGAAGATACATCCAATAAAAGAATATTCAACTGTCGAAGGGTTCCTATAAGTCGTCCCATAAGTTGCCCCCATCTCATTCGCCGTCGCCGGAAACTAAAAAAGAAATCTGGCCTCCTATTACTCTCGATTACATTTCAAAGCATATAAAACCCATTGATTTTCGACTGTTCGATGATGACATGACTTGTAACTCTAGATGAGCAGGTCCTCGATCATTTCACATCGTCTTCGATTTAATATAGGTGATTATCGATTTTGTTGTTGGGAGGTCTTCTCATTGTCACGTTTTAAGATGTTAATGAAACTATGTTTTTACAAGTTAACCCGTATTTTATAATGTTTCTCGAATATATACTTGGAACGTTCGTTCTTACCGAAACGTCTCACACTGGCACATTCTAGAATATTAATGAAACTATTTCTTTCGTAGCTAACTCTCTCCAAAACAACACACTACCAGAAGGAGGAAATAAAGAGATGATGCAAGACCAAGCAATCAATCCAAGAGTGTCAAGGAAATTGAAATAGAAGGAAAAGACTTGTATGTGAAAGATATATGAGTTGTTTAGTTTAATGTATTTTATCTCTCTCTTGTTTTATTAATTTAAAAAAAAAACAACCTGGGTCGTCTCAATGCGACCCATGAATTCCACGAACTAAAGGATCGAGCTTTGCTTGTTTTATACACTGTCCCAGACCCCAGTTGCAGTTCATATGAAATTTCAATGTGAAATTGCTAAAATGGTAACTGTATAGTTTGAAGATGAGGCTACAGTTTACATAAAGCTGAAAAAGGACAAATGGACTACCTTAGCTCTACCTTTGGTACATTTGAATTTCCAACAAATTCAAGACACTGGTTTTGCAGTTCTCCTCCATTCAAAACCATACTTTATTAAGCAAAATTCATTACACGAGTTTTGTTAAATATCTCTATAAATTGACTCGTACGTTTGAACAATATTGTACGGTATAATTGCGCTCGAATCGTAAAAAGAATTAAATTGGTCTCAAACTTTTCTTTCGTGATTAGTCTCTCGTGTCGAAAATTGTCAGATTCTCTATTATATTATCACGTAATTTCCGCTTGTCTATTTTTATGAAACTATATTTTGCTTCTTAATTTGTGATGATGCCAAAATTTTGAAGAAATACATTTCTATTAGGCTCACGGGACAATATAAGAATAATAAGGACTAATTTGTATTAGGGCAATAGATTAAAGAGAAGTGGCAAAATTTTCCCTTGGAACCCCTTATAGCTAGAAGCCATAACAAACTTTCTTATCTGATAAACTTTACTTGTATTGGAACATATCCCTAAAACACCATATGCTAACATTTGTCACTTCAAATATGGTCACCTTTTTGTTATTTTTTTTTTTTTTTGACCGACGTGAGAGAAAAGTCACAATCTTCACTCTTGTCATTTAGCAGTTTAGAGAGAGAATGAGGGGGTAGGAGTGAGAAGCAACTGGATATTTGCCAACAAGACAACCACCTGGTTGGAGTTTTAGGGTTTTGGGGACATGGGCAGGCTTATACAAAAAAAAAAAAAAATTGCCGTTTTAATTTCTGTTTTATTTCAGAAATGAATTTCAAGATTATGGCAAAGAATAATACTATTTAACTCGAGTTATATTAAGCATAAGTTTATGTGATGATGTCAAATTATCAAAATAAATAAAATAATATTATTCATTTAAGTGGGTAACTGATTGAACCTCGTAAATGTAGGAATTTGAGAATCATTCGAAAAGTTCGATCACATAACTGACATTTAGAAGTTAGTAGTATAGATGCGTAGTAGTACTCAACTAAAGAAAATTACTAGTTAAAATTTTTAGATGATATGATCCGAATTAATAGAGAAGAATAGTTTATTGAAATTTTAGAATACAGGGTTGTTACTAAGGAAATCAAAATGGTAAAAATCAAGGATTAACAAGAGTAATTTGCATTTTTTTTGGGTTAATATCAAGTTTTTGTTAGCAAAATGGAAAGTAGTTATAGTAGTACAAATTTCACTACAATAACACAAGGCATGCACCATCCATAATATATACAGATGTCATGAGCTGGTTGTAGCAGCCCTGAGGCCACTCCCTCCTCCCTCACCACTCTCCTCCCCTCCCTGGTAATGGTATAAGTTTTGCAGGCGCCTCTCTCTCTCTCTCTCTCTCTCATATCCTGCTATAGGCTTTTCTACACAATCTCTACAAATATATTTAGATCCTATCAGAAATTCAGATCAACAAAATATAAACATGGTGGGGTCTCTTTCTATCTCTCTGTGTAAAAACCAGTCTTTAAATTTCCAGCTCTAAATTGATGATTTTTGGTTTGATGAATTTTGTTGTAGTTGGAGAATTCATCACAGCTTCCCCAGTGGCTTTTGGCCCTCTTGACAGACAAGTTCTTCAACGCCTGCTTAATTCATGAGGGTGTTAAGAAGAATGAAAAGAATGTCTTTTGCTTGGACTGCTGTGAAGGCCTTTGCCCTCACTGCCTCTCTCTTCATCGCTCTCACCGCCTCTTACAGGTTCTGTTTTCATAATTCTCCTATAAAATAATTAATCCCACATTTTTTTCTATTCCATCTTTGCTTTTTTTAAAATTCAACCAAGTTCTTAAGATCATATTACAATTTGCAGGTAAAAATTTCTGTTTTCTTGAACATGCATTTAGTGCTATCCAAAATTCCACAAACTCTTTAATACTGCAATCTTATAAATTGTGGGCTGATTTGCAGATAAGAAGATATGTATATCATGATGTTATAAGACTGGGGGATGCTGAGAAATTGATGGATTGTGGTCATGTTCAAGTAAGTAGTGATTACTTGTATAATGAAATGGAAAGAATTGAAGCATTATTCTTTTAATGCGTTTCTTCAACTTTTTTCTGCAGTCTTACACTACAAACAGCGCAAAAGTTGTATTTTTAAATCAAAGGCCCCAGACAAGGCCATCCAGAGTCTCTGGCAATCTCTGCATCACCTGTGACAGAGCCCTGCAAGACTCATACCTCTTCTGCTCTCTGTGTTGCAAGGTCCATACAATTCTGTCTCCTTCTCACACACACACACACACTAGAAAATTTCTTGAATTTTCATAGCCTAGTAAATTTTGATGGTGACCCATTTCATGTTTTTAGTTGTTTGTTTTTTTGTCTTTTGTGTTTTCTTTCTTTCTTTTTTTTTTTTTAATTCCGCAGCTTCAACATGCACTGAGAACTGGGGCTAAGCTCTCAAAGTATATTCGCGAGTATGAGCTAATTGCGTGGCCAGAACCGGGATTGGACGATGGCCAAATGACTCCTGACTCGGTGCTTGAAACGACCGGTTCGGTGAGAACCGAATCCGGTTCTAGCAGCGGTGTTGGTGCTGCCGCCTTAGTGGACTATTTGAATCTTTCATGTACAGCCACGACGGAGGTCGTGAGGAAGAAGAGAAGCAATGTGTCGGGATTCAGGGCTGCATTTCGACCAGTTTCGGATATCTCAGAGGAGGCTATGATGAACCGGAGGAAGGGTACTCCACACCGGTCTCCATTTTATTGATTTGCGTACGGACTACTGATGAAATGGTATGGAAGAGAGAGTGGGGGATTGACGACAGAATTCGTATTTTATTTTTATGTTTTAAGGACATTTTAGAATCAAAATTTGACACCCCAATTTTGTAGAGTACTCTTCCTTCCATATGGCATATGGGAAATGCTATGTGTGCATAGCATTTCTAATAAGGACGTTCATAATGGATACATGAAAACCCTCTATCTTGTAGTGTACTCTCCTTTTTATAAAATTGTCATATGGGACATAAAGGTATCCATAATAGCTCGCAATAGGGGGCCTCCATGTGTCCATTATGGACACCCTCCCGCAATAGAGGGTCTCCCACCCTTGTGTATTGTTCTTATAGCGGGCAATAGGAGGCTTTCATGTGTCCATTATGGACACCCTCCCGCAGTAGATGGTCTCCCATTATGGATATCTTTGTGTATTGTGCTAAGTAATCATGGCACAAACCATTTTGAGTTTGTAATGATTGGTCAGGTACAACAGCCCTCTTTTGACCAATGCTAATTGTTCCTCCTTTAACTTTACTATAAATTTGGAACACTGCTGACACAGTGTTGACTGCAGATAATTGATTGCAAAATGGACTATTTTTAAGCAATTCAATATGGCGTTTTGTCAAGGAAGTGGGCAAAAAATTCTAGCAAAATGGCGTATTCCATAAATTTGGCGCAACTATGTTTCGCTTAGTTTGTTTGAAGAACAAATTAGCAGTCTTTACTTATTCAGATGTCGTCCTGACCTTCTTTTCTCCATTTCCCTTCAAAAATCCGAGTTTTTCTTACAAAAATGTCATTTGTCCATTATGTCAACACTTCTGGATAATTGAATTCTTTTCATAATTCAAATATTAATTATCTGCAATGTATCATTGAATCAAATTTGCAGTGATTACTGGACACCCCGAATGAAGCAAAACTTAAGAAAGATTAATACGTACAGATCTATATACAAACACTTACATTATACACACAAAATATGTGAAACAGCATCCATTGATGATCGTTCATTCATCATGATCTTCGGCTTTACCTTTCATCGGTTTCCGGTAGGTCTCCTCCATCTTCTTGGCCGTGATATAACCAGCATTTACCATTTTTTTGACATTTGGTACAGTATAATTCTGTATAATGTATACCCCAAAAAAATGTGCCTACCATGAATGTAAAGCTTCTTCTGATTATAGCCATTTTCTTGATCGGCTCGGAGCCCCCACATGGGGCTCGGTGAGACCGAGCCCAAGCCAGGCCCGGCTCGGGCTTTTTCCGAACCGAGCCCGAGCGGTCCGAGCCGCCGAGCTTTTTTGCCTTCCCTAATCTCATCCCAACAATTAAATAACTAACCTAATATTTCGTAATTACAAGAAAATATCATAATTTTGTATAACATCACCCGAAATTGTAAATTAATGAATGAAGAAAGATGAATCTTAATGTTCTTGAATTTCTTCAAAGCAAACTTGATAATCTCCAATTGATGAGTTTTTGAACTTCTTCTTTAAAATTTTCTTACAATATATGATTTTGCCTCTTTTATGATGAAAATTGATGGAATATTATAGTATGAGATGTATATGAGAGATGGTTTATATTGGCTACCCATGTTTTGTATTTATAGATGTAAAATTAAGTCAAAAATCATGCAAAAAAATAGTTTCCATATAAAATTTGGAATGAAAAAGGGGAACAAGCCCGTTTGCCAAATTTTGGTGCCCATTCAATATTTTTCAGCTCTTGTTTTTGAAACCACAAACCGAGTGGTCGCCCAGACTTATAACTAGGGGAATCTAGCGTTTTGGTCCCCCAAATTTGATTCTTGATTCTTTTATGTCATTTTCTTTTGCAATTTTGCTCCTTTAACTCTTAATTGTATCCAATTGACCCGTAACATCTTCAATCTTCATTTTATAGTCTGAATTAACTATTGAAATGTTTCAATTTAGTCCTCATACTTTGGATTTCACCAATTTTTGCTTCTTTCTTTCAATTTCTCGTTCAACCAATGAATTTTACCTATATAATATAAAATATAACAATTTGGAATATATTTCATCAAATAACTACCCAATATCACTATTTTAGGCTCTGAATAAGTATCATCATTGTTAATCAACTACTCGGTATAAGACACAACAATTCTCCACAATCATGCTGCAATTAAATATATGATAAATAGTATAAGAGTACAAATTCAATAAGTGTAATTTAGCCAAACAGATTATCGTGCAAAAAAATAAAGGTTTACAAGAGTACTAGAAATCCAAGTGTAAATAGCTAATGGCTTGTTCCTAATCCCTAATCTTGTTGGTGAGGCCATCAACGATTTTAACAGCCAGCAATTCAACGCATTCATTCGAACGCTCTCTGACATTGTGCGGCGAGAACACCCTGACATCCTGTTTTTGCAAGAGACCCGATTATCTTCTAAGGAGTTTGATTTATGTAAGTATAAATTGGGTTTCGGTAATTGTTNTTGATTTATGTAAGTTTAAATTGGGTTTCGGTAATTGTTTGGCTATTGATGCTATAGGTAGGATAGGAGGTATTGCGTTATTATGGTCTACAGAAATTGATTTATCTGTGATTAATTATTCTCCTAATCACGTTCATGCTTGTATAGAGTATGATGGTCATAACGTGAAAAAATGGTTTTTGTCTGCTGTTTATGGATTCCCTGAAACCCATTTGAGATACAGAACATGGTCTCTTCTCCGATACTTAAATAATGGTCCTGATCAACCCTGGCTCCTCATGGGAGATTTCAACGAATTGCTGTTTAATCATGAGAAAAAAGGGGGATTATTGCGGCCTGAAAGACAATTACTGCAATTCAGAGAATTTGTCGAGGATTGTGATCTTAGAGACCTGGGGTATTCTGGACAGAAATTTACATGGTGTAATGGAAGGTCTAATCCGTATAGAGTTTGGGAACGACTGGATAGATTCCTAGCTAACTCTGCTTGGATGAATGTTTTCAATACAGCGAGGGTCACAAATGGAGTAATCTCATACTCTGATCACTCCCCCATTTGGGTGGATTTGGTTAGGAGCAAGGGCTTCCAACGATTTGCAAAACCCTTCAGATTTGAGGCCATGTGGGTGGATGATGCTGCGTGTGAGAATATTATCAAGGAAGTGTGGGCGAACAATTCTAACTTATCCAATCCTGCTGATTTGAGCTGTCTTTTTAAAGAATGTGAGCTTGTTTTGAAGAGATGGAATAAACATATGTTTGGTAATGTGCAAAAACAACTGTCGAAAGCCCAATCTAATCTCAAATTTTTGCACGAAAAAGATCCTTTACTCGTAAATAATGATGAGTTGAGTCAGGCTAGAGAAGAAGTGCAAGTTTGGCTTGAAAGAAATGAGATTATGTGGCGACAAAGGTCAAAAGTTTTATGGCTTAAGAGGGAGATAACAATACAAAATATTTTCATATGAAGGCCACACAAAGGAGAAAGAAGAATCAGATTATCAAAATCTTAGATGATGAGGATTGCTGGAAGGCAGGTGTAGACAGAGACAGGGTGATCATCCAGTATTTTCAGTCCTTATTTACTTCATCAAACACCTCTGATTCCCTGGATTTCTTAGCCCCTCTTGCAAACCGAGTCACTGATCAAATGAATACGGATCTCACACGTGAGTATTGTGCAGAAGAGGTGAAAATGGCACTTTTTGAAATGGATCCCAATAAAGCTCCTGGGCCGGATGGAATGTCACCTATATTTTTTCAAAAATACTGGAATGTGGTGGGCCCTTCAGTGACTGAGGCTGTTCTTCAAGCTCTTAATTCCGGTGTTTTTCCAGCCTCTTTCAATCATACCTTTATCACTCTTATTCCGAAAAAGAGAAATGCTATTAGAGTGAGTGATTTTCGGCCTATAAGCTTATGTAATGTGATTTACAAGCTCATTGCTAAGGTTCTCTCAAATAGGCTGAAAGTGGTTTTAACTAGTGTTATTAGTGAAAGTCAAAGTGCTTTTGTCCCTGGGCGTCTTATCTTTGACAATGTTTTGATTGCTTATGAGTTAGTTCATTTTCTTAAGCACAAAAGGAAAGGTAAAATGGGCTTTATGTCTTTAAAACTTGACATGAGTAAGGCTTATGATAGGGTGGAATGGAATTTTATTCAGTCCGTCATGGAGGTTTTGGGGTTTAATGAGACTTTCATTTCTACTATTATGTATTGTGTTAGGTCCGTGTCTTATTCAGTTTTGATTAATGGAGAGCCTAACGGTCCGTTTTCACCATCTAGGGGATTGAGACAAGGGGACCCACTATCTCCTTATCTTTTTCTTTTATGCACGAAGGGTCTCATAGCATTGCTTAAGGAAGCTGGAATGAGGAAAGATATTTCTGGTCTTAAGATTTGTAGGGGAGCCCCAAACATCAACCATCTGTTGTTCGTTGATGATAGCATTATTTTCTACAAAGCTGATTTGGATGAGAACAGGAGGATTCAATACCTTCTGGGCAAGTATGAAGCTGTGTCAGGTCAGAAGATTAACAAGGAGAAGACTGCAATGGTTTTCAGCAAAAATGTTAGTGAGGCGAGGAGGAATGCTATAAAACAATTGTGGAGTAATAGTGAGATCCAGCAGTATGAGAACTACCTGGGACTTCCCTCTATTGTTGGAAGATCGAAGAGAAGAGCTTTTCAGACTATTAAACAGAGAGTTTGGCAGAAACTTCAATCTTGGAAAGAACGGCTATTATCCCAAGGTGGTAAGGAGGTTTTGTTAAAAGCTGTTACGCTCTCTATTCCTACATACACTATGTCTTTTTTCTTCTCCCTTCTACTTTCTGCCAAGAGCTTGAAAGTTTGATGTCTAATTTCTGGTGGGGACAAAAAGGAAGGGAGAGAAAGATTCACTGGATTAGTTGGAGCAAAATGTGTCAACCTAAAGCTGTGGGAGGAATAGGATTCAAGGATCTTAGATGCTTCAATCTTGCATTGTTAGCTAAGCAGGGGTGGCGGTTGTCTCAAGAGAAATCCTCATTGCTTCATAGATTGTTCAAAGCCAAATATTTCCCAAATTGCAATTTCTTCAAAGCTGGATTGGGTCACAATCCTTCCTACACATGGAGAGGCATTTGGGAGGCTAGAAAATGGATTCAAATTGGTTGTAAATGGCGCATTGGAGATGGAAAATTAGTCAATATTTGGCATGATCAGTGGATTCCAGGACATCGCGCTTTGTTGTCAGAAGGTATTGTGGTTACAGGAAATTCTAGGAATGACACAGTGGATTCACTTTTTAATCAAAATGAGAAGTCATGGGATTGGGACAAACTTCAGACTCTCTTCAGCCCATGTATTGTTTCTGATATTGGAAAAATCTATCTTAGCCCAGAGGAAGCAGAAGACAGAATGTTCTGGTCGCTTGAAAGAAACGGCTGTTTTAGCGTTCGTAGTTGTTATAGGTTGATCTATAGCTACATTGGATAACAGCAAGCAGGCACATCTGAGGGCTCTACTGAGAGGCTATTGTGGAAACATTTATGGAAGATGAAAGTGCCGAGTAAGGTTAAGATTTTTGCGTGGAGAGCATGCAAAGATGGGCTTCCCACAGCTTTAAATCTTGAGAAAAAACATATCACTAGACAGCGTATTTGCAGCCTTTGTAATGCAGAAACTGAGGACCTGAACCATGCTGTGATTTATTGTAAAATGATTGAAGGGTTCTGGAACAATTTCTTTCCTGAACTGGTCAAAAACAAATGCAGGTCAATTAAGGAGAAGGCACTTGTTTTTTGTGAGAAAAAAGAATTCTCAAAGTTGGATGTTTTCTTTATGCTGATTTGGAGTTTTTGGTTCAGAAGGAATAAATATGTGCACGAACAAATCAGGTTGGATCCCCGAAAGATAGCTGATAAGGCCTTGGGTTTGTTAGCAAGTTTCAATTCAGCTAGGAAGACGAATTGCGTTCAGATCCGAAAATACTTCAAATGGTCACCTCCAGATATTAATTTTCTGAAATTAAATGTGGATGGGGCTACATTCAAAGAACTCGATCGAGTTGGAATTGGGGTTGTATTAAAGCATTATTCAGGCAAGGTGATTATGGCAATGTCAAAGATTGAAATAAGTGTCGAAGAGAGTGAAGAGATCGAGTTGCTGGCCATTTTTAGAGGGATGCAGCTGTGTGTAAATTTGGGAATCCAAAACATTTTGATTGAAAGTGATAGCAAGTTGGTTATTGAAGCACTTCAAACTGATAGCATGTTAAATTCTTCTTTAGGAGTGTTGTATCGGGAAGTGAAACTCCTAGCCACCCACAAAATTGGTTGATGATATTTGTGTTTAGTTGGATAGTATTCCAGACTGTATTTCTCAAGTCATCTGGCTTGATAATTGTCTGTAATCGGTTTATCCAGTTTTATGAAAGTTTCTTTCATATCAAAAAAAAAAAAAAAAGTTGGGTAAAGCTTTGAACAAGTCAAAATCAATTCATGTTTGGGTTGGACAAAGCTTTGAAAAAGATGAGTAAATTTGGCTAGAGAAGATTGAAGTTCATAAAATCAAGTAATATTTAGGGAAAATTAGGGCTGAACTATCTAACTTTTAACACAAGTGTTCCTTAACCTTCGAAAGTGCAATTTTAGGTAGGGTCATAGGTTGGGTTGGGTCGACTTTTACCTCAACCCAACATGATCGGTTTGATCATAAATTAACTCAACCCAACCCAATCCAATCCAATCAAGTATCGGTTGAGTTGGGTTGAGCTGGTCGGGTTGGGATAACTTGTCAACAAAGACTAAAGTAGACAGATCGGGTTGAACGGATTTATAATTGATTCATGACTTATATAATATTTGGTCTTCATAGTTGCAATGAACAAAAAAAATTTGAATTATTTTGGCACTTCATGTCCGGAAATGTTACATGGACATATTGATATTAAATTATATGAAATCAAGAAATATTTTTGGCAATTAAAATGTTTTTGTGTTGAATGTGTATTTGCTTTTACTATTTTTCGTAAAATGCATTCTATCCAAATTTTATAATATTATTCTAAGAATAATTTGTAAAGTTCATAAATATAGTGGGGTTGGATTGAGTGAGTTTAACTCATAATCCGACGCGATCAAACAAGTCTACACAACCAACCCACCCAGCCCATGTAAAAACAACAAAAAAACCAACCCAAACCGGTCGGGTTGGGTCAAGTCGGATGGTTTTGACGAGTTCGGTCGGGTTTTGCCCACCCTTAGTTTTAGGTTCTCAAACCCATTTATATATGTTAATTTAGTTGCCACGTGACATAAAAAGTTAAAATCAAACCTGACTTTCAGGTAAATTGGAGAGAATGTAAGTGATTTGATAGTTTTATTATTCAGCTTCTGTTATGAAACTAACCATCGGATTGAGATGTTAAAAGTTATATAGCATCAATGCCTATCAAAAATAAAATTAGAGCAAATCAAACAGGTCCTAAAATGTTGTAATTTTAGAATATCGTTCCTTCGCAAACTCTGTCATTCTTGTTTTACAAGTGACGCAATAGAGAATAAAATTTCAAATCCATTAGAGCCAATATATTTCAATTCATTCCACAATCAATAAAATTAGAGCTCTGATGCGTGTACCTCGTGGGGGTTACCGAACCTCATCAGACACAAAGGAGGAGGAGTGGGAATTTTTTTGTTCATTTTTTAATGAGGTCGGGGACCCACCTCATGTGAGAGGTGGTAAGTCCTCTGTCAACTACAATTCTGTACACTTAGATTAATCCATAAAATTATACATTATACGGAAACTAAAATGACGGCATAAATAGACGAAAAAGTAGACACCCGTGCACACATACTTAAAGGAAGACAATATCATTAATTGATTAAACAGTAGAAAATATAACATCAATCTTCCAAGTGTTTGCCTGTGGTGGCGGTGTTGGGTTCCAGGTGGGTCTCCTCCGCCACCTTGGCCTTCCAGTATTTGCATGCGGGGCCGTAGTTAGGTTTCCGGTAGGTCTGCTCCGCCACCTTGGCCTTGCAAGCAGCAGTTTCAACCATATTTTTTAGGTTTGGTACCTCATACTTTCGTGCAATGTAGACTCCACCAATCATGCCTATCATCACTGCAAAACCGCTTCCGACTATACCCATTCTGCGTTTGAGTAATTGAAATTTTTTTGTGGGCTTGATGAGAATTCTGATTTTATTTTAGACTTGTTTGCATAATTGATGAAGGATGATGGGTTTGTAATTGACTAATATATAATAGTCTTTGGTGTGGTATTGTGCAAGAACCTTATTTTATATTTTCTTGAGAGTTAAGGCAATCTGCTAACTCCTTCTCCAAGAGTCAACTTGTTACAAGATTTTGGTAATTTCATTTTTATTAGATACATTGATTTGAGAATGCTTGTTGACCCCATTTTTTAAAAATAGGTTTCGTAAAACGCGTTTGTTTGTTTTTTTTTTGTTTTTTTTTTTAGAATGTGTGGTTAAAATGTATGAAAAATCTTTGTTTATATACAAAATTATTTTATTAGAAGAATGTGTAATTGAAAATATATTTTTAGAAAAATTGTACCAAACAAGCTCCAAGGATTACAAAATGCTTCGCTCCTTTCCCAACGTTGAATCCGGGAGGAGGCTGGGACTATGTTTTCCGTCTCAACTATTAAAAATAATAATAATAAGTAAATCGATCGATCAGAAAATACGAATATTTTAGTCCCACTTCGCCTCCCAAAAATCACCAACATGGGGTGGAACATAATTGGCCGCCTCAGCCCACCTGTTCCATTGCCATCCTTAACTATCGTGGGAGTCTTTAAGCATGTGATACAAATTAAAAAATAAAAAAAAGTAAGATAAACAAAGGGCAGACGCAGAAGATGTCGCTATATATGTCTATGGATGGTCCATTGTCCATGCAAATCACCCATTCATAAAAGTCTAGCTTCAACACTATCCATTCCAAAAGTTGGCCACTAATTTCACATTTCTCTGCTCTATAAAATACCAAGCAAATAGTCATAGAGCTTGCAATTTCTTTACCGAATAAGAAGATATTTGGTTCAAAGTTTATTTCTCTTCTAATTTAATAAACAACATATTTTCACTTGTGTGTCCTCCCACAATATTCCATGCCCTCCGACTACTCCCTCCATCCCCAAAAAGGCCGCCAAGTGCCCAAGAGATACCCTGAAGTTGGGTGTTTGAGGTGATTGGTTAGGGCTAATTCATGAGATGATTTGAGCAAAACCTAATAGCAAATGTTGTACCCTGTTGAAGGGTCTGGCCAATCTTGAAGCTGCATTGTGTTTATGTACTGCTATCAAGGCCAATGTATTTGGCATTGCAAACTTAGAAATATCAGTTGCTCTAAGTTTGGTGTGTGAATAAGTTGCTAGCGACACGACTTCTTGCAACTCTATGCACTTGCATTTGTAATAGCATTGCCAAGTAAATGGAAAAATTCCTTATCAATTGCTGTTTGTTAGTTGTGGAACTGTTGGGTACATTTTATTAAGCAAAAGACACTTAGATGGGATTTTTAGGCCTCCACCTAAACCTAGCGGGGGAGTTGGGAATACTCCTATCATGTTTATTGATTCGTAAATAAAGTACACATGGGGAGCGGACTTAAACCTTATTTCCAGAGTTACACTTGGAAGATAGGAGGAAATTTTGGCAAAGCAACTCATAAACATGGAGATACTATCTCCATTACAAAAGCGAAAAAAGTAATAGCTTAGAAAAGTAAATGAAGAGACAGAGAGAGAATGTAATTCAAGAAACAACATTTTGATTTCCTGAACAATATATTGAATAGACCACAGTCCACCCTCTTTAGATTGGAGAAAATGTATAGTCATCATAGAGTCTACTTCCAAGCATATTTCAATGAATTTTTTTATTTCTTTTTCAATGTATCAGACCAGTATAAAAAAATAAAAATAAATAAAAAAATTGTCCCCCCAGGCTCTGCCCTTGCAGGTACAAATCTACTTTGAGGGATATGATTTTGTGCAACACTCCATTTACCTTAGAGATAATTTTGTCAAAGACAATGCAGAGACTAAATTGAGCGAAAATCCTTCCAGGTGGAGGCAGGTTCAATCGTAGTGATGAAAAGCCCCCCGACTAGGAAAAAAATCCATCACTGCTTGATAAACATCTTGAGCCAATGTATACAGGTTTGAAAGAATAACGCCGTGAACCCATCCATCCCCAAGACAGATGCTATCCGAATGATTCTTCAATAATCTCATTGATGGTCGGAATTGTGTTAAGCTGCTGATTGTCTTTCTCTCTTATAATATCCAAATCTTCACGGGTAAAGGAAACTGGTTCTGTACTAAAAATTCTCTGGAAATAACTGGCGGCAGACATCTTAATCGTCCCCGCCTCGGTCTTTTAAACAGCAGTGCGGGCACAAATTTAGGTATCAGTTGCGGAGATTTTTTTGCCTAGCTACAACTACTAAAATGAAGAGCATAGGGAAAGAGGGGATTCATGAGGATAATGATGTACATAGGAGGTCCTCATTCTCAGGAGCAATAAACAATAAGGGCTCATCTTCATCTTCATCTAATTCTTCATCTGGTGCTTCTTCTTTTTCCTCGTCTTGCTCGTTTAATTCAAATGCTTTTCATGAGTTTCACTTCCTCAAGAGGAGTAGCAGTGCAACAGAAATTGGGGGTTCAATTGAGGCAGTCATTGCTCACTGCAAAAAGTCCCAACTGCTCTTTGGTTCAAGAAATACATATGGATTTTCTTCATTCACTAGAACACTTTTTCTTCTTCTTCTTCTTCTCTTCTTGGTCCAGGACGTTTCTTGCAGGCATGTTGGAATTAAAGGGAACGAAAACACAGCACATCTGAAATGATCAGAAACTAAAACCAGTAGGAAACGAACCAGCGAACATCAGCAGAAAAATGAATTTAACCATATGAAATCAGAACCAGCAAGAACAGATTAGCAGAAGGACGAAACTAAATTGAAGCTACTCTACTTGCAGGAATAAAATTGATAGCAGAACAGAACAGCAGAACACTTTCTCTTCTTCTTTCTTCCCTCTTCTTCTTCCCTTCTTGGTCCAGCAAGCAGACTTTTTCTCCCTTCTTTCTTTCCTTTTCTCCTCCTCCTCTTGGTCCAGTGCAGGCACACAGGAGCTTCCTGTGTCATGCCCAAAGTCCAGTGCGGGCATTGGCCTGCACTGGACTCCATGTAGCTCCGCCCCTGTCTTAATCCCCTCTTGATGTTGGATTATCCTCGTGAACTTTTCTAATTTTGATCAGATTAATCTCCAAGTGGACTTCCTACACTTTTTG